CACTAGGGCTGATTTTCATAGCCACACCCACCACTGGGGCTGATTTTTCATAGCCACGCCCGTCACTAGGGCTGATTTTCATAGCCACGCCCATCACTAGGGCTAATTTTCATAGCCACACCCACCACTGGGGCTGATTATCATAGCCAAGCCCATCACTAGGGCTGATTTTTCATAGCCACGCCCATCACTAGGGCTGATTTTCATAGCCACGCCCATCACTGGGGCTGATTATCATAGCCAAGCCCATCACTAGGGCTGATTTTTCATAGGCCCATCACCAGGGCTGATTTTCATAGCCACGCCCATCACCAGGGCTGATTTTCGGGGTGGGGCTTCTATTGCGCAGGTGCTCAGACATCCTGCTGGGGCTCATTGTATGAGTAGGTCTTATTTTCAGTGAAACACGGTAGAGAGGGTTGGTGGGAGGATAAAAGATCTCTCCACTAAGTGCTCAATAGGAATGCCTTCTATAGAGAAATCATTCAGCAGATATGTTAAGTATCACAATCATCATGATTAGATCAACAATGTTGCTATTTCATGAACTCAGTCTGTTACATATTCTCCAAATAGAGCAAGCGGTGTTAACATTTTTATACATGTTTGTAAAAGATCCTAAGAGACAGTAGGCAAAATTTTTGATACATGATAATTGGAAAAATCTATGCGACCCACCTGCCAGCACAAAGATATGGTTTCCGGGTTCTCCTTGCTTGATTATGTAGCTCCCTTGCTGGTAGCTTCTTCCGTACATACATTCCACCATGTCTTTTATCTGCTGAGGGTCTAGCCTCTTGAGAAACTGATTTTTATTAAGGGCATCTGTGATGAGCTTCTTCTCACTGGTGTAAATAGGAAAGAGATGTTAGTTACAACCAATGAAGATCATTTTTTCTTTTTTTTTACTATTTAGATCCACTTTATTCTGTTCCTTTTTTGTACATATAAACAGTATGTTTTTATATTAAAAAGATAAAGAAAAAAATGACACCAAAATATTTGATAAAGTGACCTCACCAAAATTCAAAATTTCTGTGCTTCACGATACACCAATAAGAAAATGAAAAGACAAACAAATAGCCCAGAGACAAGCTGCAAAGGGGAAAAAAAATTGCTCGAGGTCACCTGTCCCTTAAAAAAAAAAAAAATTGAAGGCTGGCTATATGAAGACTGTAACTCACTACTTGGGTAGAATCATTACTACTGGGAAGGACTAGATCATTTTAAAGACGCCTTACAAAGATGTATATGGCAGATAATACCCAAATAACCATAAAACCGGCATCTTTAAAGGATCCAAGTGTAAGAAAACAATCTTTTCAATGCTACGAATACAGTAGTATTTATTTACAAATTTATTTAGATAGGCAACTTCTGCCCCATGGGGAAAGCCCCAAGGGAACAAGAATGAAAGCATTGCTTAGATTGGGCATCCTCAAACTACAGCCCGAGGGCCACATGCGGGTGTTTTTGCCTGTTTGTTTGTTTGTTTTACTTCAAAATAAGATATGTGCAGTGTGCATAGGAATTTGTTCACAGTTTTTTTTTTAAACTATAGTCCGGCCCTCCAACGGTCTGAGGGACAGTGAGCTGGCCCCCTGTTTAAAAAGTTTGAGGACCCCTGGCTTAGAATGTCAGGAACTAGAAGGCAAAAGAGAAAACCACAGCCCATAGCAGGCAACCTTTCCATCTGGGGAAGCTAGTTTTAACTTTTTTCCCTGCAACTCAAAAAATTGGTGCAATTTAGAATATGCCAAAGTGTCCAATAATCTTAATCCCTATTCAGATAATTCTTTTCTTCTATATCTAAAAAAATTTTTTGGAGTAGCCATTATATGATCTACATGCATTTGAGAAATAAATCTTTCACGTCTCTATTAATCATTACAATCTTTCCAGCACGTAAGCATGTTCAAGTGATTAAAGATGAAGGACACAGGCTGGGCGCGGTGGCTCACGCCTGTCATCCTAGCACTCTGGGAGGCCGAGGAGGGAGGATCACTCAAGGTCAGGAGTTCGAAACCAGGCTGAGCAAGAGCAAGACCCCGTCTCTACTACAAATAGAAATTAATTGGCCAATTAAAAATATATAGAAAAAAATCAGCCGGGCGTGGTGGTGCATGCCTGTAGTCCCAGCTACTCAGGAGGCTGAAACAGGAGGATTGCTTGAGCCCAGGAGTTGGAGGTTGCTGTGAGCGAGGCTGACGCCACTGTACTCACTCTAGCCTGGGCAACAGAGTGAGACTCTGTCTCAAAAAAAAAAAAGAAAGATGAAGGAAACCATTTAAATGATTCTAAAAGTAACTGTTTTAATTGTAAGCTAGTCTATTTCATTTGTCAGTGAACTAGACCTAAATTAACTCTTGAAATCCTTGGCACATAATCAAAATATTTTCCAGAACTGCACAGATAATTGTTTTCTCTCCTGGTACGTTATTTAAAAATGCCACGACAAGCAGCAGCGTTTTGAATGGAAACACTTTGTTTAGCATGTGGTATGGTGATTAAAACTATGGATTCTTAAGTCAGAATGCCTAATTTTGCATTTGACCTCCACTTAGGAGCTGTGTGACTTTAGACAAGTTACTTAACCACTCTGGGGTACAGTCCACATTATGGAGATAATAGAACTTGCCTACTGTGTTTCCCCAAAAATAAGACTGGGTCTTCTATTTATTTTTCCTCAAGAAGACTCCCTAGGGCTGATTTTCAGGAGATGTGTTATTTGTTGTAAGTACAGTACAACCATCTACATTGATTCAAATAGAGTGAGGTCGTCTTCTTCTGGAACATCATCCTCACTCTCCAGACCCCGAATCCCATCCTGGATGTCTTGCGACTCTGTTTCCTTTAGAGCCACCGGCCCATAATTAGAACTTGCCTACTGTGCTGTCCCCAAATAAGGACTGAGCGTCTTCGTTTATTTTCCGTTCCAGAAGAACTTCCTGGGCCTGATTTTTCAGGGAGATGTGGTTAGTTTGTGTGTAAGGCAGCGTACACCATCTGTACATTAATTCAAATTTGTGTTTTTTTTGTGAGGTCGTCTCTTCTGGAACATCATCTTTTTTTTTTCACTTTAGACCTTTCCCGAATTTTTTTGTGTATGTGACTCTGTTTTCTTTTTTGTCCTTTTAGCAGCCACCTGGCCCCGATCTCTCTCGCCAGCACTAGGAGCGTCTCACGGCGGGGGATGGAGAAGGGACTGCTCCATGTTCTTTTCCCGGCTCCGCGAGGACACGCATGGGGTCTGTGCAGTATGCGACTGCGCAGCCCACGCCGTCACTGGGCTGTTTCATAGCCCCACGCCCCTCGATAGGCCCTAGATTTTCATAGCCACACCCCACCACCGGGGTGATTTGTTGGCCACGCCCACAACTAGCGCCGCTGGTTTCTTAGCCTGACCCATCATTAGGGCCCCTGCTTTATAGCACACCCCCACTGGGGCCTGATGTATTCATGCCCGACGCCCTACACCAGGGGCTGAATTCATTCATAGCCACGCCCAGACTTTAGGGCTGATTTTCATAGCCGCCACGCCGCATCACTAGGCTAATTTCTTCATAGGCCACCCCACCCTGGTCGCTGATTTCATACCACCACTCACTAGGCTGTATTGTATCATAGCACGCTCCATCGACTAGGCGCTTATCATTCATAGCCACGCCCATCACCATGGGCTGGATTTTTCATAGCCACTGCCCATACCAGGAGCTGATTTTCGGTGGGCTTCTAGTTGCGCCAGTGCTGCTACAGACATCCCTGGGCTGGGGCTTATTGTACATGGTGGTGTGCTAGGTATTTCGGGGAAACACGTGAGAGGGTGTTGGTGGCGAGGATAAGTCTCTGCTACTAAGGTGCCCTCAAATGGATGCCTTCTATAGAGAAATTCATTCATCAAAATATATTAGTATCACCAACATCTATGATTAGATCAACAAATGTGCCGTATTTCCATGAACTCAGTCTGCTTACATTTGTCTGCCATATAGAGCAAGCTGTACACATTTTTACACATGGTTTGCAAAAGACTTTCACCATAGGACAGTAGGCAAATTTTTGAACATGATACTTGGAAAAATCCTGGGGTGCCCGACCACACTGCAGCACAAGAGTATGGTTTCGTGTCTCCTTGCTGATTATGGTAGCCATCCCTTGCTGGCTGCTTCTCCGGTATCTATCTCTACAATGTCTGTTTTTATCTGCTGGGGGTCTAGCTCCTTCTTGGAAGAACTGATTTTTCATTAAGGGCCATCTGTGATGAGCTTTTCTCACTGGTGTAATAGAAGGATGCTTTATTACAACCAATGAAGATCAGTTTTTTCTTTTTTGTAACTATTTAGATCCAACTTTATTCTGTTCACTTTTTTTAGTAAACAGTGATGTTGTGGTATATTTAAAAATGATAAAGGAAAAAATGAACAAATATTTGATAAAGGGACCCTCATCAAAATTCAAACTTTCTGTGCTTCAGATACACCAATAAGAAAATGAATAAGACAAACAACAGAGTTGCGCAAGAAAAATATTTGCAACACCGTACCGATACAACCTGCTATGCAGATATAGAGCCAAATCGGAGACTCAAGGAAGGAAAATCCAATATAAAATGTGCAAAAGATCTGAATTGGCTGCTTGGCACGGGAAGAAAAGGCATAGGGCCCCGGCGAGGTGGCCTCAGCCTGCATCCTAGCCGGAATCTGGCGAGGCCCCAGGCGAGGGAATCACTCAAAGTCAGGACGTTCCGGGGAGGCCCACCTGATGCCAAGAGCGAGACCCTGCTGTCCTCTACTAAAAGTAGAAGAATTAATTGCGCACCAACTCAAATTGCGGTATTTAGAAAAAATGAGCGTGCATGCGCTGGCCCGCAATGCCTGTAGCCTCCCACAGCCACTACTCAGGGGGCCTGGAGGCCAGGAGCGAAGTGCTTGAGCCCTAGGGTTTGAGGTTTGCTGTGAGCGGGCTGACGCCAGGAATCCACTCTGCTGGCGCGACCACGTGAGGACTCTGCCTCCAACAAAAAAAAAAAAAAAATCAAAATCAAAAGAAACAACGATGATAGAAGAAATATGATTCTGCAACACCCTTTGGCCGATATCACTACTGC